GGGAGGTGTGATAATAGCCTTTAAATAATAGAAAAGGTTATTGCAAAGAGGAAGGTTATAAACTGCCCTTCATGTCAAGATCACTCTTCTTCATGACTGTATGTGGTAGGCCAAGAAGTAATGGACTAAAATGGCAAGAATTAGGAAGAACTTTGAATGTTAAAGGTGGTTAGGACCACCTAGGGAGGCTGTAGGCTTTTAAGAACAGGTTAGACAAACATGTGTCAAGAATGCTTTAGAGCATAGGGCATGAGGTTGGACTAAATGGCTTCTCAAGGTCCCTTCTTCCCCTCTTGTCTATTATCCTGTTCATGGCTTGTACTCTTTTTTTCCATCTTAACAAAACAGAAAATGAAGGACATCACAAAATTGAAGGCATTCGCTGAAAAAAATGTTGAATTACGTGTTTTTTATAACATTGCTGTGATGATTTTTGACTAATATAGAAGAAATGTATATATTTTAAAGGAATATTTAAATTATTTGTACTCAGTTGCTAGAATTTGGGTGATTGGCTATAACTTTGGATTTTAATTTTCAACAGTGGAATAAACTAGATAGTGTGATTTCAATAAAAGTCAGCATTATCTTTCGTTAACACGCAGTCACATTGGTGACATTACTTCCATTTCCTTTACTCAGCCTAGGGGTAACTGATAATGATATATCTCTAAGTCCTTAGACAGGCCAGCATTTGTGCATGTTGGCATTTTTATTTTAACAGTGACCTTCCATGGTTCTTCTTGTAGGTCTCCTTCAAACTAGAGGAGTTGTTCTTAACCTCGTTAGGCTCAAGGCAACCCTTGGAAAATGCCAGCTCTTCATTTTCCCTCATTTGTTGACTCTGGAAAAATAATAAGAGCAGTTTTTCTGTTGCAAAGAACTAAAAAAGACCACAAAAAATCAGAGTGGTTTTAACACTGTGGCTTCTGTGATTTGAAATCTCTGGGTTTATATTGCATGCCATGCTAATATTGCATGGCACCCCAGTGCACCCTTGAAAGGATCTTAAGGCACTGGAGTAGAGGCTCAGTACTCAGAAGTGCTGAGAATCTGCATCTCCCAAATACTTTTGGCTGAAAGGTGTGTGCTTAATACTTCTGGGAATCAGGTCCTTGCTGCGACCCTGCTCATTTGATTTCTGTTCCTTAGTTTCCCTTTTTGTTCAGTCAATCAGATAAAATTTCCAATAACTCCCAGGTTTGATTAAAGGCCTAATTTTTTTCCTGTTTGAAAACTGAAGCGAGCTCACCAGATGGAAAGTATTATATATAAACACAAAGTATTAATAATTATTAATAATATCATTCAAGAAGGATGCTATGGTTAGGGACTAGCCTGGAACTCGGGTTTCCTCTGCTGCAGGCTTTTTATGTTATCTTGAGCAAGTCACTTCAGTTGCAGATGGACGAGGCAGATTTATCGATCCCAGAGGCTACAGACATAAGCTACCAGAATGCAGCTTCTGCAAGGAGTGACCCTGTAGCAAAACAAATACACCTTTAACCCTATTCATTCAGGGTCAAATTTAGGATGATGAACTCACTTGTGGGTGTGACACATTGTAATCCCTGCTGTATTTTTCCAAGCAGCAACAGCAGCTCCCCTTCCCCTCCCCTTCTTAAAACAGCTAAAAAGTCTATTTGTCTGTACCCATAGTCTCTCAGTACCTCATTTCTCTATATCTAAAGTAGGGTTGATAGCACTTTCCCACTTTACTGGCTACGTGTGAAGATAGATACACGAGACTGGGGTACTTAAGTGCTAGGACAATGGGACTAGAGACATCTCTTATATAAATTGTTACAGAATCAGTCTGCAGAAAGATGTGCATAGAATGGATAAGCAAGTGAATTTTAAAACTGAATTGAAATTGTTGTTCACTCATTTCTTATGGACATCATAGTAGAAATAGGCCTTAATGAAAAGTGCTTTCTGAAGAGAGGATGGCGGTCTGGGAAATCTGTTTAGGGTGGGTGCTCCAGGCATGGAAGTGGCCTAGAAAAAGAAATACAGAGACAGAGGCAAGAGAAGCAGACAAAGAAGACACCAAGCCGGCATCGTTAGTGGATGATTAATAGTTTGGAGCTGAGCTATTCACCTTGTTTTGATTTATTAAGTGGATGTGCTATCACATCACTCTGAGGTGTGGTTTTATCTGATCGTATAAGTGAAGTGACATTGGATCTGATTAGCACTTGGGTAGGGGACCTCATAGGAAATCTTTCAGTGCAGAAGGTACCGATGGGGTGAGCCAGCAGATGTGCAGGGCCTCAGCATGACTTTTGGGGGCTCTTTGCTATGGAACAGCCAACTTTTGGATGAGATGTAAAATTATAGCCCTTAACAACCAATGGGTTAGAGTGTCGATACCCCTTTTTGCAGGGGTATCAAAGTCAGTCACCGTAGTGTGGCCCAGTTAGCTAAACACATATTGTCTTCAAGTATTAGCCTAAAGTGCCGAGTAAGTATGATATTCATCATTTTCGGTGCTAAAAACCCTGCAAGCTATTGGTGCAAGTCGTTAAAAAAGTGCTGTTGCCTTCTAGAGATGATAGCTTTTCAAAAGTAGCTTAAGTCATCCCTCTATGTACTGTTTATAAATGCCCAGGATGAAAAAAATTGATAGGCGCATGGTTGTTAAAATTACTTTTCATGCTAAAAATACAAGAAAGTTACTTGAACAGTTTTGCTGTATATGAATAGTTAGTGATTGTCAAGTATTAAGAAATGGAAAGAAGATAGACGTTGTGACCTAACATCCTGTAAAACATCATTTAGAATAAAGCCATTTGTGAGTTTACTGGAAAACCTTTTAGCAAGTTATAAATTCATGATAAAGAGAGTGTGGCCTCATGGGATGATATCTCCAATGTCAAGATTTACTCTGAATCCAGTTTTAATAGACAAGTTGAAAATCCCTGACAAGAAAAAAGAGGATGTTAATGGAAGTATTTATAGATTGTTAATGACAGCAATGTTAGCAGGCAACCCTCTAGTAATTATTGTTATTGCAAATTATATACAAGTTCTTGATCAAATACATATCCCAAAAAGGCTTTTAGCAGGTCAAATGGCGTATTGCTGTCAAATGGTTAAAGGAATGTATCTGGGATTCTGTATGCACAAATTGGAGATGAGGATATCATAAAGAGAAAGCAGGGATGGGTCATTTTTTTTGCCAATGCTCTGCGTCCACAGAATTGTATTTGTGACAAATACTCATTGTGCCAGCAGGAGGCAGAGTGCCTCGGTCCTTGCTTTTGTGAAGAGCTTTGAGATCTGTGGACAAAAATACTGTGGAAGTGCTAAGGTGTTATTCTTATTTCAGTGCCGTGGCCATCAAACGGAGAAGGGGGAAATGACAATGTGGCTGTGCTTAGGACATACGGTGAATGGAACAACTCAAAGTCCAGGTGTTTTAGGTTCTACACAGCTTAGCCATCAAATGGCACCATTTGTCTGAATAAAAGTCACACCTTCTTCCGTTGTTTCAGTTTTCTGGGTTTAATCAGTAACAGCTGCATTCATCAGTGCTGCACATGACAAATGGCTCGGGGCTCGGGGCTCAGGGCTCTCTCCTCTCTCAGCATCCCAGTTAGTGCACCGAGTCATCTCTGATGGTCAGAGCCACTCCAGACAGTGATGCCAAACCTACGCTTACAAGCCAGCCTGCTTCCTGTTGGGGCCCTGACCATTTTAATGCAATATTCAGTGCTCAAGCTGTGGTGCTAGGCTGGGTTAGTGGTGGCCATGCTCTGTGGGAATGAGAATTTGATTCCTGGAGGAATCGGCGTGATCTCTGGCTATAACATAATGTGAACTCCAACATTTCTTGTGTAGAAGCAACCTCCAACTATTGTTCACTACTTCATTGACTTCAGTGATAGCTTAGGGGCACCTCTCCCCCTCAGCGTCTGCTTGTCACCTTGAAGGATGAAGTCCTGTCTGCTTGCACGTGCACACGCACAGCAGTGCCAGACCCAGTGCGTATTGACCACCTCCACCCAGAAGCTTCGAGCAGCTAGAAGATCACACTATGAATCTTGGCTCTTGCCAAGATATGGTGGAATGAGCAAAGTCAGTTTTGCAGGCTTTAACGGCCAGCAGCTGAGAAAGAGAGAGTTGTCATGGGAAACATTCAGAATGACAACGCTTATACATCTGATCCATTGTAGAGAGAAATGCCACTAACATCTCGGTATAACAGATTCACCACTTTGCTTTCAGTTGGCTTCAGCTACAGCTGTAGCCTGGGATCTGGTGTTATGAGAAACGTTGAGACCTGCCAGTGTTTTATGACTTTACCCAGTGATTCTTAACCTCTCCAGTCTAGATCACCCTTTCTCCATACATCCTAATCAATCCCAATTGATCCCTCCCTCATGTATCCAGGCATGCTTTAGATGTTCCATACTGGGATCTGTTCGCAGTGTGAAGTCAACCATTGCCATCGATCTGTTTTGGTGTACACAGGAGATATATAAAGGGCAGATACCGGTGTATAAAAGGCAGATACCACTTTTCAGATCCAGAGGAGGTGTGGCAGTGCAGTCACACCCCACTTTGACTATGCCATACATGAGTTCTTGGCGTTGCGTGTTACATCACCATCACTCATCCCCTCCTTTCCTCTGCTCTTGAATGCCTCTCCCTGACCAGCTGGTGAGCTCAGAGGTCGCACAGAGCTCCAAAAAGCTCACTGTGCATGAACGGCACAGCCACAGTTAAGGGGGTTACTGCCTTTGCCCCATTCCTGGATCCGCCAACACTTAACACTGCCTCAAACTCAAACAGTTATGTTGTATGTAAGAGGTTGTGGGAATCCAGTCATTCTGATTCATCAGTACCAGAGAAGAGCACGTTATCCTCTGTCTTCTATGCCTGTGCATTTTGCTGCAGCTAAGTGAGATTTTTTCAGCTATTTTATTAATTTCTTGTGTATGCCTTTGCAGTGAGGAGACATGGCAGCTAATTAGGTGCTCTTCCTTTCTGCCTAGGTATTGGACTGGATTGAAAACCATGGGGAAGCCTTTCTCAGTAAACACACTGGAGTGGGAAAATCGCTACACAGGGCACGAGCCCTTCAGAAGAGACATGATGATTTTGAAGAAGTCGCGCAGGTAAGAGGCCAAAAAGCAAAGTTATATTGGTCGTTTGTTGTTCCGCTCCGGTTTTGTTTTCCTTTCCGATCCCGCTCAGGACAGATTATTTTCAGGAAAAGGGCCAATGTGGTTCCCATTTTCAAAAAAGGGAGGAAGGAGGACCCAGGAAACTATAGGCCTGTTAGTCTTACCTCGGTCTTGGGTAAGCTTTTTGAGAGAATTATCTTGGCGCATGTCCGCGAGGGGCCAGCAGGGGAGATTTTGCTTAGGGGCAACCAACATGGGTTCATTCGAGGCAGGTCCTGTCAGACCAACCTGGTGGCCTTCTGCGACCAGGTCACAAAATCCTTGGATGCAGGTGTCGCGGTGGACGTTAGGAGGGCTTTCAACACTGTCTCTCACCCCATTCTCATTAAAAAACTAGGAGACTGTGGCGTCGACACCTACATAGTCAAATGGGTCGCTAACTGGCTGGAGGGCCACACCCAGAGAGTGGTGGTGGACGGGTCTTATTCGACCTGGAGGGATGTGGGCAGTGGGGTCCCCCAGGGCTCGGTCCTCAGGCCCGCACTGTTCAACATCTTCATCGGTGACTTGGACAAGGGGGTAAAAAGCACCCTGTTCAGATTCGCAGGTGACACTAAGATGTGGGGAGAAGCGGGCACGCTAGAAGGCAGCAATAGGCTGCAATCGGACCTGGACAGGTTACAAGGGTGGGTGGATGAGAACAGGATGGGGTTCAACACTGACAAGTGCAGGGTACCGCACCTGGGGAGGCAGAACCAGCAGCAGACCTACAGGCTGGGGAACTCCCTTCTCGTCAGTGCAGAGGCAGAAAAGGATCTTGGAGTCATTATTGATGCCAATATGAACATGGGCCAACAGTGTGGGGACGCGGTCAGGAAGGCCAACCATACCTTGTCATGCATCCACAGATGCATCACGAGCAGGTCCAAGGAGGTGATCCTCCCCCTCTGTGCGACACTGGTCAGGCCCCAGTTGGAGTACTGCATCCAGTTCTGGGCGCCGCACTTCAGGAGGGACGTGGACAGCATTGAGAGGGTCCAGAGGAGGGCCACCCCCATGATCAGGGGGCAGCGGGACAGGCCCTACGAGGAGAGGCTAAGGGACCTGAACCTGTTCAGCCTCCACAAGAGAAGGCTGAGGGGGGATCTAGTGGCCATTTACAAACTAGTCAGGGGGGACCAGCAGGCATTGGGAGAGTCCCTGTTCCCCCGAGCACTACCAGGAGTGACAAGAAATAACAGCCACAAGCTGGCAGAGGGTAGATTCAGGCTAGACATCAGGAGGCGCTACTTCACAGTTAGGGCGGCTAGGACCTGGAACCAACTTCCAAGAGAAGTGGTGCTGGCTCCTACCCTGGGGGTCTTTAAGAGGAGGCTGGATGAACACCTTGCCGGGGTCGTTTGACCCCAGTACTCTTTCCTGCCATAGCAGGGGGTTGGACTTGATGATGTGCTCAGGTCCCTTCCGACCCTACCAACTATGAAATTATTTAGAAAACTCTGCAAATTGATGAAGCTCCTCTCCAACACGTGAAAGGGACAAAGATCCTACCCTGCTGTTTCCAAAGTCTAGTTATTAGACTGTAGCGTATGTAGATGACTGTTGGAAAGCAAGGTTTTTGCAAGAGCAACACCGAGAGGCTTCTCCAAAGCAGTGAGTTTGATAGCGGATGACTCCTGTCTAGGGTGGCCATCATAGAGGACTTTTCAGTTTTCTGCTGCTCTGTCCTCTATTGATGCGAAACCCGATGCCTTTATGTCCTGTATTTTTCTCTTTGAGAGAGAAATAATTTATTCACTATTAATTATCCATATATCTTCAAGAGAAAAATAGAGGACATAAAGGTGTTGGCTTTTGTATTAATAGAGGACAGAGGACAACCGGACTGTCATCTATGATGGCCATCCTACTCCTGTCCCATATGAAATGGGAAAGAGCATGAAGGGCAGCATGCAGAATGGGACAGTACTAAGTGTGGGAGGGAAAATGAAGAGTAGATCATGGAGAAGGTTAGCATGAGCAGGGGAGAGTCAAGAGAAATAAGTGAACAAGTTGTTCAGAACAAGGAGCAACGGTCTCAAGTTGCACCAGGGAAAGTTTAGGTTAGATATTAGGAAGAATTTTCTCACTAGGAGGGTAGTAAAGCAGTGGGACAGGTTACCCAGAGAGGTTGTGGAGTCTCCATCCTTGGAGGTTTTTAAGACCTGGTTCGACAAACTTTGGCTGGGATGATGTAGTTGGGGCTAGTTCTGCTTTAAGCAGGAGGTTGGACTAGATGTGACCTCCTGAGGTCCCTTCAACCCTCATTGTCTATGATTCGAATGCAGAACCTTGAAGCTTGGGATGAGACACTTGAATGTGATGTAGGATTGTTGAGTAAGCCAGGGAAGGACTTGAGGAGAGGCTCATGTGGTTGCTATGAATAGAAATAGTCTTCTTCTAGATTTTAAGGCTTTAAGAGACAATTTACAGTTGGCTAGGTTGACCTCCTGCATAACACAGACCAGAGAACCTCACCCAGTAACTTCTGCATTGAGCCCCTAATGTGTGTGGAGCTATGCTATTATCTTTTTGAAAGGCATCCACTCAGGTGATGGACAATCCATCACGTCCATATGTAAGTTCTTCCAGCGTTTAATTGCCATCACGGTTAAAAATTCAGACCTTAGTCCTAGTTTGAATTTATCTCCCTTTAAGTTCCAACCACTGGACCTCGTTATGCCTTTTCCTATTAGATTAAAGAGCTATCATAAATCTCTCTCCATGAAGGTGCACCAGCCTCAGAGCAGTTTAGATGAAAACACATTCAGCTTTACAACAGACGAGAGTGCTTTGTCTGCTTGCTGGGCACAAGGCATTTTTCCCCTCACACAGTCCCTGCTGTATTTTTGAAGTCTGCGGTGGGAAAGCCTTACCAGAGCCTCTGTTCAACCCCTGATCAGAGCATTTTTGCTCTCTGCAGTACCCTTCACAAGTGCTTGCCTTATTTAGTTATAGATGGCCTAAACATAGCATTTATACTACGTCCCAAGGGGCACTATTTTACAGCCTGATGGGGGATCAGTATCTAGAAGATTTTCCTGATATTCAGTGTATAATCTCTGCCTTAATTCATTCCCATTACTCTTGTTTATGCCCCTTTTACTGCTATAATTAATTCATTTCCTTCCTTGGCTACAGCCTTCAAATATTTGTAGGCTGTTATCATCTCTCCTCCTAATTGTCCCTTAGCCATGTTATACATCTTTAACTCTTCTAGCTTTTACTTATTAGTTACTCTTTTCACCCCTTAATCTTTTTTTTTTTACTGTCCTCTGAACTCCTTCTAGTTTGTTGATATTTTTCTTTTAATTAGATGTCCAGAAATGAAGAAGCTATTCCAGAGTTGGATAGTTAGTGAAGGACTACATCTTTGCTTCCTGCTACAGTACAAGATCTCTGTATGCAGCCTACAATAGCATTGTCTTAGAGAAGGTCATCAAAAACCTCTTAATGTCAGTGGGAGTCTTATACTGACTTCAGTGTGTTTTGAACAAGCTTCAAATCAATACCGAATGCCTTGCTGGGAGATTTGGTTTAGTCGAGTATAGTGCAGAGTTTACAATGGCAAACAAAGGGCCTGTATATGCACGAGATCAGATTAAATGATCTAATTGTACCTTCTGGTTTAAACCATTATGAATATCCCCAGTCTATAATTTATCAGCTTCATATTTCAGCTTCTACATCCTTTCTCTTCTTGAGTTGTGCCTCCCTGGAGATGCAGATAACTGAGAAATGACAGGGGAGGCAGGAGGGTAGCATTGCCTTGAAAATAATCGAGTAAGCTGTGCAGCTATTTTTATGTAGAAAAACAGGACCAGTTTCAGAGGTGATTCACTGGGTGTTGCAGCTGAGACCTATTTACCCACACACTCCAAGGTGTCAGGAGGCTGCACAGATATAACTTCCATCCTGAGACGCTGGAAGTGATGTCAGTTCAAATAGCGTGGGGACTACTTTAATGTGCACTTTTTTTTAAGTCTCCTGCTTATTTTTCTTTTTACACTCCTCCATCTAGCCACTCAACCTATGAATGACTCCACCTTAGTCTCCTTTACAGTCATTTTAGTTTAAGGAGGCTGGATTCATAGGTGTGTGCCATTGACACATCGGTAAGTGGATGGTAAGTGGATGCGAGGTCAAGGATTTAAGAAGGCACTGGAAGCAGAGGGGGAGAAAGTAATAACTTACGCTGACGTACACCTGCATCTTTGCTCCATCTTGGTCTTAACTTGATTTGATGTTTTTGGTGGCTGATCTGTGTTGTACGTTGTTGCTGAGCCTGGAGAACTCTAGACACTAACGAGCCTCAGACTTGCACTCAGGACTTCAGGCTCTGTTGCCTTCTAATTAGAAATGGCTGATGCAGTTAGGGCCTGGCTAAATTCCTACTGACTTTGATGAGTGTAGGATCTGGGCCCTTCCTCCAGTAGGTTTACACTAGAATCCCATTACTAATTTATGAGGTCTGGCTGAACAGTGACACGGGAATGCAGTGTTGGCAAATGGGGCGTGGGGACATATGTTGAGGGGGAAATGAAAGGGACCCCAGGCTTTCTTTGAGGTCGAAATCTTGAGAACATAATACTCGCTGCTTTGGAAAGAGTAATAGCAGGAGTAGAGAAGAGAGGCCATAAATTTATCACACCTGGGCGTCTTCTGAAGAAATGTCTCCTGAGATGGATTTTGTGGTTTGGGAATAAAACTTCTGTCTTCCCACTTTACTCCCAATTTCCTCTCCTATTTCTCACAGCCATTCCCTCCTTGATTTGGGGGGATTAACCCTTTCGAGCTTGCCCTCAATAAAAGGCCTGCGTTTTGTTCCAAGTGACTTAATTGGCAAGGTCCTTTGAGTAGATGTGATATCTTTTATTAGACCAACTGTGATAAAAGGTATCACATTTACTCAAAGATGTGTCTGCCTATGTCCTTAGACCAACATGACTACA